CCCCAAAACCCCAAAACCCCAAAACCCCAAAACCCCAAAACCCCTTTACATGCTTCAGTAATTGATCGAGTTTTTGGATTTCCAATGGAGGGGCTTAATAAGATCACCAAGGGATTTAGAGTGAAAGAAAGGGACATAGAGGAAGTTGGAGGGGAAGATGAGTGGAAAGATGAGTGGGATAGGGATTGTAAAGGAGAGAGATAGGATTAAAGGGTGGTTAGAAGGGAAATTGAGAGGAGAGGAAGGGAAGAGGGGATAGAGGTATAAGGGTTTTTGGTAAGTTTTTTAATTTTATGCGATTTTAGATTTAGAAATGAGTTTAGAGAGTTTTGAAGATATTCTGAGTATATAGAATTGAAATTTGGACTAAATGAAGGGTTTGAAGTTTGTTCTATTTTTGGGATTTTATGAATTATGCATAAAAATCAATATTCTTAAAACTCTCCATAACTTGGCTTGCACATTGAAAAGAATCTTTGATCATAAAGAATCTGTCATTTGTCTGATTAATTTTAATATTTCTAAAGTAGAGAGATTATCTTGTCTTCACACGATTAAAAGTTATTAAAAGTTTAAATCATGAATCAATAAAATATAGTATGCTATTATTTTAGCGTACAAAATTTTTGCATGAAGTACAAACAATGAGCAAATTTATAAACGCTTAGCTCTTAGAGCATAACTTTAATCCCCTTTCAAACTCTTTTAATATCTCTCCATTTCATCTCCAAATTCATAAATTTTTTAATATCAAAAGTGAAAATAATCCGATTTCATTAATAACCCAATTTCAGAACCTGAACTATTCCTCACTCTAGAGCCCTCCTCTCCCAACCCCCATCCCACCACCTATCCCTCCCAAACACCCTCTCCACTTCCCATCCCCTCTAACCCCCCTCTTCCTAGTCTACCCCAATTTTTCCCACTAGATTTCCTAATTTTCCCAAAATGTCGTAACTCTTCAGCCTAATTGCTAACCTTCTTCGAACAGAGCATGTAGCTGTCCTCATTATTAAGGAAGCCTACAAGCTCAGGGAGGAGGTTTAGGTTAGGTTTAGGGGAAATTGAAGGAAGAATGTGGGACGTTTAATGAGGGATTTTTGGGACAAGTTAAGGTTTATAGTGGGATGGTAAAATAGATGAGATATACTAGTTTGGAAGGTGTTTATTAGCTTAGCTTCAAGTTCCAAACCTCTAATATCATTTTTACCTACCTTCACCCTTCCATTCCTCCCACACCCTCCAATCCCCTCACTCCTCATCCAAATCCCCTCACCCCCTCCAAACCTCCCATTTTCCTACTATCTCCCACCAAAGCAACAATCCTTATATCTCTAACTTATTTACATAAACTTATCCAAAGCATCACTCCCGACCACTGAGTCTCGACCAGTACTTCAAAAGCCAGTGGTCCTAGCCAGCCTGCTAGGCTGGCTAGGACTCGTGGGTTCTGACCTGGTTGTCTTTGGTGGGAGGAACTCTTTGCCGATATTTTGTACTGACTCTGCGGGCGGTTGAGTTCTCTGAGGAGATGGATGATGTATCGTCATTGGTCAGTTTGGAGTAGATTTCTTTCTTTTGACGAGAGAATTCTGTAGCGAGGATTTCGTTAAAGTCGAGATTGGGGTTTTGGTGGCTGGCAGTGATTTTTGGGGTGTGGGTGTTGTCTTTTTGGGTTGTGAGGATGTCTGAGTAGTTTTGAAGCTTGTGGCTTTTAGAAGGTTTGGGAGTTTTGATGTTCTTCTGGAGTTTTCGCTTCTTTTTGAGTAAAACTCTTAGGTTTTCACTAATATCTTGATTTTGGAATTTGTCCAAACTAAGTATTTGATTAAAAGTATCCTCAGTCCGGGTTTTCTTAGAAAGTTTCATGTCCATCCTTTTAATAGATGAATCAAAGGAGTAGGGATCATCTTCATTTTCTTTCAAGAAGTCTCAGTTGTCTTCTTTCCTATTCATGCATTCAATATTTCCCATTTTGTGCTAAAGATGATGTTATTGCGTGGAAACTTTGTGGTAGGAACCTAATTCTCTCTTAATAGTTAGGCTAGGCTCCAAATAGCTTGAAATAAAGCTTACTTGATGTATGTTAAAGGACTTTCAAAGTTTTTATATTAATATTTACAAAATGGAATTCAATAAATATTTTAGTGAGGGGTTTTGGGGTTTTGGGGTTTTGGGGTTTTGGGG